ACTGTCATTTTCAAAAGATTACATTTTTTTTTTGTTCTAAAAATAGTATATAAATATTTTTCAATGGATGTGCATGGAACAATAGAGGTCAAGAGCTGGGGATGGTGGCTCCTATCTGTAATCCCAGCACTCAGGAGGCTGGCCCATGGGGATTACTGAAAAACTGAGAGGCCACCTTGGGCTACACAGTAAATACCAGGCCACCTAGGACTACAATTGAGACCCTGTTTCAAAAGCAAACAAACAAAAGAGGTCAAATCACATTAGGAGTTATTCACTGTTGTGAAGAGTAATACAAAATGCATATGTCACATAAAACCTCTTAGGCTGCCTGCATCTGTACCTGTGTCTATGTCCCCATGTATATATGCAGGATATAATGGGACATACTTGTTAACCAAGGAAAGGAAGCAAGCATTTAAACAAGTGCACATAAAGACACATTTTTAAATAGAATGCACAGCTTGTACTCCAATACACCTAATAAAGTTGCCAAGAACAATGAAGAATGGTACTATCTGACTGTTGGGACAGAGTCTAAGCTGTGAGAGCTGTGGGTCACATGCAGGTAAGCCTGATTAGGAAGCAGCACTAGGGAAATGATGATCAGGAAATGCAAGAATGTGTGTACAGCCCTACAGCTAAGTGTCAAGTGATGTGCCTGCAGGTCCGCATGTGGGAGTGCCTGCCCAGCCACCACTGCTCCCTTCTTCCTTTCATGGTTCTAAGTCTCATAATGAAGGGAACAGGAAAAGAACTTGCAAGGATTTTATTATGAAGATACATACACAGACTACTGCTTTCCACTCAGGGAACTAGAATGTCGTAGAACCTCTTTAAAAAAGTAGTTATCTGTGGTACAGCAACAATGAGACCACTAATCCAAACCCCACTGCCAGGGAGGGGCTGGTACAGGAAACTATTTTACTAGTGACTTCCTATGTAATTGTTACCTCATCTCCTCCTCCTGTTTCTAGCTCTGTGCCCATCCACTCCCTCCAGTGTCCATATGGTTAACAGTAAGAATTAAGGTTACCTGAGTAATGCTGTACAAGCTGCTGAAGGGTTTCAAACTGGGCCCGGGTGGTGATATAGTATCCACCATTGTCAAGTTTACGAATTTTATAATGTTTGACATGGTCTCCTTTCATATCATCCCAATCACGGATGGAAAGTGAATAGGCACCTGGTAAATATGCAAAACATTAGCAGTGCCACGAATCTGTAGTACTAGCTTCTTTTGTATGTCTCATTTACTTGACTACTCTCATTAATAATTATCAAAGGGACACATGTATGTACACACATACACACACACACACACACACACACACACACACCATCTCTGCTCAGTAACAGGATGAAGACAACTCTTACTGTCCTTCGAGTATCAGAAGATGTTAGCGATAAAAATGATTTTAAAAAGACTGAAAGCTTTGTGGCTATTTTTTACTTTTAGTTTCTTATGTTGTCTAACACTGCACAGACCAAATCCTACTGGGTAAGATTAAGAGAAGTACAGGGGCTCCAAATGCGTTTACCTGCTGGTCTCCTTTCCCATGAGGCATGTGAGAGGCAGGGATGGTGGAGGCAGAGATGATGGGGGGCAGGGATGGT